TCTCTGCTACTGCAGATGTAGATGATTGTACCTTTTTACGTGTGGCAGCACCAGTCTCACTAGAGGCCTGTCATGTCCTTGCTCTTGTGGCAGGTGGAGACCCCACAGTGGCTCCTGGTGGCCGTGGCTACAGGATCTGGGGCAAGGCCAAGTGGGAGGCCGGTACATGGCTGAGAACCTGCTGGGTCAGCACAGCTGGCTTCTCCTAGTTCATTCTAGAGCTCCTTGCTGTGGAAGGAAGGAATGGTGCGGAATCAAAGTCCCAATTTTTTTTTCATTTTTTACTATTGATTTTATTGAGAAACAAATAGCAATGAAACAGTTTCAAAACTGATTAGTGGGACAGTTTCAATAATTAATATGTTGCGTATTGTTGTCATCATAGTGGTTATTCATAGTACAAGATGCAGACATGATATCCTGTCTAAACACTGTTAGTACAAATCTTTCTTCTCATTGGATTAAGAGAAAGTAGCTGTATATCTATCCTAACTATTTTGTATATACAGATTTAAAATGGTCCTTTATTTGTATCCCCTTTTTTGGGTTAGTTTTGTCAGAGATGGGTATTCCATTGCCATTTAAATATTGTAGGTGCCTGAATTCAGCAAAATAATCCAGTATAGTCCAGTAGTCCATAATAGTAGTGGGTTATCTGTAGGGCCGGCAATGCCAGAAGTTGTTGACTTGAGCCTTTTACTGCTCAGCATATTAATATGGCTTTACCTTTTATACCTCATTTTTATACTTTTCTGCTGAATGGTTAAGACCAAGATAAAGCAAGACCTATATAACAAGCAATGAAACTTTTGTATCTGACAAGCTCAGTCAAATCCCCTCAGAATTTAGCCTGAAACCCTGTACTGCAGTCTGTAGATGGTTTGTCAGTATCAGCTGTGTGGATGAGTCACGCCCATTGCTTGGCCAATGTGCTCTCTGTGAAAGCCTGAGAGAATGTTTTTCTCCATGTGACTCTCCTGAGGCACACTCTACATCATCCATCATTTTCCTCTGTGGCCCCATAATGTCCTTGATGAGAATATTTGGGACATCACTGAGTTACAGGATGCTACACTACAGGTTTGCTTACGTCCTGAGTCCTCACTGACCTTGAAAGGCTAGGGCCCAAATGTTGGCTGTCCTTGTAGTCTTTCTTTTTCTCTAATTTTTGGTCTGCAAAATTTATGTTGCCCACCCTCCAGAAGAGAAGTTTAATATTATCAGCTATAACAGGCAGTTGAGCTTAACCTCACTATCTGTCTGAATATCAAACATCTTACACATAACATGGACCACATATTTTCCATCAAGCATTGATATGTTAAATTTTAAATCCCTATGGAATGGGAAGAAAAAAATCCTTAAAATATTTTTAAAAAATAAGAATAAACAATAACATATTTTTACACAGAAATTTTGAAATCTAACCCTATACAGCATTGCAGCAGGACAGTCCTATGGCTGTTTTTTCTTGTCTCTTGTTTTCATTTATTACCCTTTTTTAAAAAACAAAACAAAACAAACATTTACTTGAGAGACAGTATGGCAGTAATTGGTATGTCATGACAAGCAGTATGTATTTGGAAGAGCAGAATGACAGGCATTCCAAGCGTGACCCTTCTATTACACATTGCCATCTTCAGTGCAGTTGCTTAGCTTACAGGTATCAGCATATATAGTTAGACAGGGTGGGAATCCTACCAATTAACTGCTAGTTTCAAAAACCTGCTGAAGATTCTCAGGATCATTGCCTTACCCATCTTGTGCATATAAATATATGGCTTTGCCCCTGTCATGTTTCCTAGTTTTTCTCCTTGCCCTCTCTTCATTGCTTAATCCTTAAGTTCTCGCTTTCCTTGTAATTCTGTTCCACCTTTCTATTTTTATTTCTTCTTTTGAGTACTTATTCTAGGGAGATGATATGATTTTTATACATGTGGGTCTGGTTTCTTTCACTTGTGAGTATATCTCCAAGTGGCATCCACTTAAATATAAAGGCTTCGAGTTTATCATTCTTTATAGCTGAGTAATACTCCATTGTATAAAAACAGCACATCTTTCTCATCCATTCCTCAGGTGATGGGCATCTTGGTTGTTTCCAAGATTTGGCTATCACTAGTTGTGCTGCTGTAAACATAGGTACGCATATATCACTATGATATGACGCTTTCATTTCCTCTGGGAAAATTCCCAGTAGGGGGATAGCAGGCTTGAATGGGATTTCCAGTCTTAGTTTTTTAAGGAGTCTCCACACTGATTTTCATAATGGTTGCACTAGTCTACATTCCCACCAGCAGTGGAGAAGGGTTCTTTTTTCCCCACAGCCTCTCCAACATTTGTTGTTGGCTGATTTGTTTATGATAGCCATTCTTTCTGGGGTGAGATGGTATCTCAGTGTTGTTTTAATTTGCATTTCACAGATGGCTAGTGGTGTGGAGCATTTTGTAATATATTTATTTGCTTCTATAATTACATCCTTTGGAAGTGTGTGTTCATCTCGGATGCCTATTTCTGGACTGGGTCTTTGAATTTTGGGGTCCTAATGTTTTTTAGTTCTTTATAAATTCTAGAGAGCAGACCTTTGTTGGAATGCTTATTATTTAAGATTTTTTTTCAAATGTGTGGGTTGTCTTTTCCCTTTGTTGGTAATTTCTTTTGATGTGTAAAAACTTCTCAATAAGAGGAGGTCCCAGTTGTTGATTCTTTCAAGTATTAGCTGTGCGATTTGATTTTTGTTGATGAACTCTTTGCCTACCCCTATGTCTTCAAGAGTTCCTCCTACTTTCTCTTCTAGGAGAGTGAGTGTTTCTGATTTAATGATTAGATATTTAGTCCATTTTGACTTTAGCTTAGTGCATGGTGGAAGACCTGGGTCAAGTTTTAGTTTTTGGCATGTAGAGAGAGAGGTTTGTTTTTTTCCAGCACCATTTGTTAAAGAGGCTATCTTTCTTCCAGTAAGCATGTCCAATTATTTCTTAATAATTGACAAGCCCAGTCTATAAGTGATTGATAGTTGCTGAAGTGGAGCTGCAGCACTGGCGAATTCTGGGTTCTGTTCTGTGAGTGTCGGACATGCCTCCCTCTGTCAGCCTAGTGTCTGGCTGGAGGCCCAGGGCGGGGACACAGGTGTGACTTTCACATGCCACTCCCGCCTGTGCATGGCATGGCCTTGACCTGTGGAACCAGTACTGCTTTGCTCCCAGGAGTAGACAAATACTGTGGAGCCCCAGGTCCTAGCCACCCAGCCAGGAGGGGCACTCGGAGATCAAGCCCAGCCATCTGAGGGCCCGGCTGTGCCCTTCTATAGCAGGACAGGCCTAGGTGGGGACAGCCATGTCCCTCTGCACCTGTGAAGAGGTGGGATCTGTAGGCTGCAGGTCACAGATCCTGGAACCCAGAGGTTGGAGAAGCCAGGGAACGCTGTAGTGGTGGAGTGGGCTGGGGAAGTGGGGCCCTGGGATAGGTTGGGCCAGCTGAGGTGGAAACCAGCAGCTCTGTGGCACTTGGGTCAGGCCCAGACTGACTCCAGGCCTCAGTCATCCCTTGCTGTCCTCGCAGACTGCGGGGTCCCTGCCATCCCTCCTGAGCTGAGTCACCTGTCCAGGATCGTCAATGGCGAGGATGCGGTTCCTGGCTCATGGCCCTGGCAGGCGTACCTGCTGGTGATAAAGGTATGTGGGGAGTACCCTGGGGGATTGGCCAGGCTAGGGGGCTGTCCAGGCCACAGATGTAATCCTCTACTCCATCCTCTCCAGGGTGAAGATGTCTACCAATGTGGGGGCTCCCTCATCTGCAAGGACTGGGTGGTGACCGCCGCCCACTGCGAGGTCGGGTACGCAGGCGGGCTGTGCTCCTAGCTGCAGGATAGGGTAGGGAGGTGAGCGGTCCATGGTGTTCCGAGCCCCGCCTGTCTCTGTTTCCAGGACGACTGACAAGGTGTTTCTTGGGGTGTATGACCTGAGCGCTCCTGATGAACACTGGCAAGTCCTGGACGTTGAAGAGGTACCAGGCCACAGGACAGGAGCTGGGCCCTTGGAGGCGAACTGATGGCTGCTCCAGACCTCACTGGGTTGTGGTTGTCACCCTCAGGTTTTCACGAATACCAACTTCACCTTAGAGACAATAAGCTACGACATCGCCCTGATAAAGCTGGCCACGCCTGCCCAGTTCACTGAGAGGGTGTCCCCCGTGTGCCTGCCCCGTCCCTGTGACCACTTCTGTCCTGGGACTGAGTGTGTCACCACTGGCTGGGGCATGACAAGTGTCTTCCGTGAGTGTGACTGGGCCTTCCACAGCAGGGGCTGTTACTGGGTTTAGGAGATGCTGGGGCAGCAGGAATCCCTATGTGGATCCAAATGGTGTTTTTAATTAAAAATGGATGAAGTAACCTGGCATGGGGGCACATGGCTGTAATCCCAACCCTATGGAGGCTGAGGTGGGAGGACTGCTGGTAATTGAAGACAATAATGAACCACATAACAAGATAGTGTCTCACATACTCAAAGAAAATATCTGTAAGACGTAGTTACTCATTTGGAATACGAACAAAGAAATAGTTAAAAAATCTCCCATGTATGAATAAACTGAGGGCTCCTGTCCAGGGCTCTCTTCTGTGAAGCTTTCTGGGACGTATACCTCTATAACCCATGTGGGGGCATCTTCCTAGGCTCTGGGTGAGGGGATGGGCTCTCACCCTGTCCTACTGTCCCTGTAGCTCCGGACGCCTCCACCAAGCTGCAGCAGGCGGTCCTGCCTCTCGTGTCCACCGAGGAGTGCAAGAAAACCTGGGGCGACAAGATCACTGACCAGATGATCTGCGCCGGGGCCAATGGCGTCTCATCCTGCATGGTATGTTCCTGGGGAACCAGGAGGGACACAGGGATCCCGCACCCAGGCCTGGGCTCTCCCCTGACCTCCTCTTCCTAGAAGGCCCCACTGGTGCTAGCAGGTGCCCCGAGGCAGGTCCTCCAGCCAGGCTCTTGCTGTGCTGTCCAAGGAGCTCGGTCCTCCCTGCAGCCCCGGGAGCACAGGAGCAGCCCATGGGAAAGGCGACAGCCAGGCTCAGACAGGGGAAGCCACCTGTGCAGGTCCTTGGGAGTAGACCTCAGAGCTGGAGTGCATGGCACCTGGATGAAGTCACTTGGGCAGTGCCACTGTTTCCCCCTTGTCTCCCCTCATCGCCTCTCAGCCTCAGGCAGCCCAGGTAATCTGGTCCATAGCACCCTTCAGACTTATAGTCAGTTTGCCTCCTTCTCTGCAGGGTGACTCTGGCGGCCCCCTCGTGTGCAAGAAGCATGGAGTTTGGACATTAGCAGGCATCGTGTCCTGGGGCAGTGACACCTGCTCCACCTACACCCCTGCTGTGTACAGTCGTGTCACTGCACTCATGTCCTGGATTTGGGAGATTCTGGCACAGTATCCACGCCACTGCTCCTGCAATCCCCAATAAAGTCCTCTGCTCAGAAGATTGGCTGCATGTGTCTCACTGAGTGACCCATGTGATGTAGGATTACAGTTGTCCATGTCACCCACCACGTGTGGCATTAGAGTTCCCTTACTATACTGTAGGACTCCTGTCAGACAACTGAGGTCCTTTAGTGTCCTCCCCATGCGCAGTTCACGCCCTGCCTTCTGGAGCCAGCTTGAGCCCGGGAGCTCCCTAGAAGGCAGAAGGTCCTGCCCAGGCTCTAGTCACTAGCGTTGAAAGGTCCCCGAATTGGGACTAAAGCAGTTTCCAGTCAAGGCCTCCATTTCTCCATGGTCTCTGGGCCCCTTTCTCTGCCGCAGCCTCCCTCCCTCCTGCCAGCACCCTGGAACCTGCCTTTGAGCACATCCTGTCTGCAGCAGCCCCAGGCCCTGCTCACACTGCACACAAGCCCGGCACCTTCAATCTCGCTGCAGCACACCCGCAGCGCCCTCTCTGCTTTGACCTTGGCATTTTCTGCGATGGAAAACTTGGCTCTAGAGACTTGAGCACCCTCATTCCACCCCTGACCCGGCACAGGCGGAGCTGGCTGTCCCTTGGGGCAGGTCAGGACTGGCTGGCTGTCTTTCCTGAGGTCAGCTGGCCTTGATGCCAAGGCCTGCACCCATCCATCCTTTCAGGGACTGCAAGCAGGTGGCACCTACATTTCAACATCTCTTTGCCTTTATTACTTGGTGCTGTATTCAGGGTTTGCAAGGTAAAAATTTAATACAGAGTGCAAAATTTATAATATATTTTATAGTATTCACCCAAGAGTGAAAGGCAAAAAGCACAGGAAATCTGTCGACAGCTAGAGACCCAGTGAAGCCAGCCGAGAGCCTGGATCTGGAGCAATGTCCTGCAGAGGCTCAGCTGGAGGCCTGGAGCCCACCGCGATGCTCATGCACGACCGTATCAAGGGTCTGCACTGGGGAGGCCCAAGGGTCAGCTGTGGACGCTAGAAAGCCTGCGCCAGCAGGATGAAGGGTCTGTGCCAGCAGGCTGAGGGATCCGCACTGGAGCCCCGAAGTGACGCTCTAATAAGGCCCAGAGCTCCCTGGAGAGAACCACAGTCATCCTCAGTAATAGCCAGGACCCAGTATCCTCTGAGGCTAACAGCCCGGTGAGCATCTGGAAAGCCAGCGTGACAAGCTTCTCCAGGAGGAGGAAGAGCACACCATGTTCCCCTCCAGTTCTGCTTTTATCCTGCTGGCAACAATCCTCAGGGACCGTCAGCACCCAAGTGTGCACACCTGGGGTGTTCCATGGAGTTGTTGCCCCCGATCTACTGTTTAAATAACCAGGCGTCCAGCGCATGCGGAACAGTGATGGCGGACCTTTTAGAGCTTTCAATGATACAAAAACCTGCCGCGGCACACATGGCACAGGTCTGCCACCACTGATAGGGAACACGCCATTCTAAAGCTATTTTCTTCCATGTCCAATATCTGAGATCCAGTTTTATTCCCTCTCATCCTTGCGCAGTGGGCCAGTCCGCTTTATGTTTTAGAATCATTAGGAAGTTGTGGCGTTAGACGCACTGGAGGAATCTGGTCCACTGTGCTGTCGTCCTTTCCGAGGCTCTCGCCTTTGCCCCTTTGACAGCAGGAGCTTCTCCGGCGACCTCACAAGCCTGGTCAGCGTGGGCCGCGTCGTCCTTCATCGCTTCCTCTCTCTCCAGGACAAGAGGCCCGAGCTTCGGTCTGAGCCCACGTCTAGATCCGTGCCTTCTCCTTCTGGTGGTTCCTGTAGTCTGGTGAACAGTGTCTTGGAGGAAACTCTCCCGTCTCTTGGGTTGTCCCGAAATGTCCTCACTCCCTCTCTCTTCATGGTCCTGGGCCGCCCGAATGTTAGGCAAGCTCTTTCAGCAAGCTTCCTCCCAGAACATTTTTTATTGGTTTTGTGACAGAGTCATCCAGCGTTGCCAAGGTTGGCCTCAAATTTTTGATCTTCCTTGCAAGTAGCTGGTATTAATTTTCAAAAAGTTGGTCATAATTTTATAGGATATTTGTGTCATAAGATCTATACATGTATGAGTCTACATCCATGTATGTGCATATGTATTTGGACTGAAGGTATTTCCTGCCCTCAGGCCTTCCCTGAAAGGGTGGTGTCCAGAATTCTCTCTGCTTTTAAAGGTTTTTTTTTTGCAGTTTTTCTTTGGGTGCTTTTAATTCTATTCTCTTTTCTTCTTCTTTTAATCTTTTGTTTCATCAAGCATAGCATGATGTTTGGCTTCTTTTGTTGTTATCCTGACTGGAGTACTTAGGATTTCTTGAAACTAGATTTAAACATAGAGGTTTTGTTGTTGTTTATTTT